ATTGCGGACAGTTCAGATATTCCTTAGCCCAAAAGTAGTGGAAGGAATATGTTTAGGATAATAGATAAGATACAGAATTACTTTAAATTGATCTTGCATATAGAGCAGAGGCAAATAAAATATTCAAGGTTTATTAGCCTCTCCTGGTTTTTCTGCTTCTGTTCTTGGCATAGCGATCCTTTTAAAACTGTTCATTTATATCACCTTTCCCTTAAATCCTTGATAATATTTCCTGTTCCACTCAGAGTGAAAATCTAAACATTGCCATGTTCTACAAGGTTCTGTAGGATCTGGCCCCTCACCATGTCAGAGTATTCATCTTCCTTTTGCCCCTTTTGTGATGGTCACACAGGCCTCTTTGCTGTTCCTCAACTACGTTGGCACTTGTATACCTGTTGTTCCCACTGCTTGAAATGCTCTTCTCCTCGTGGCTCATTCTCACCTTCTTTAGGTCTTGTTCACATGTCACCTTCTTGGTAAACCCTTCCTGGTCACCCTATTTAATCAATACAGTCTTTCTCCTCTTGCGTTTGGCACTCCCTATTCCCTTCTCATGGTTATTTTTTTTCTCCCAAGCATTTATTTTCTCTTGGATCTCTTTCCTGCTAGGATAGATTTTGTTTTGATTCCTGCTGTATCTGTAACATCAAACACAATGCTTCGCACACAATAGATTCATAAATGTTTGCTAGATGAGAGGATGGATGCGTTTTCCTCAAATATTTTGAATTACGAGTTATATTAAGAGCAAAAAAGTACCTTTGATTGCTGGGGGTGGTCAGAGACTTATATCAGGTAGGAGAAAAATGCCCAGAATCCTATGGGAGGGGCATACCATTTAAGAGAATAGAGGGGTGCGTGGGTGGCTCAGTCGGTTGAGCGTCCAACTCTTGATTTCAGCTCAGGTCCTGATCTCACCGCTTGTGGGATCGAGCCCTGCATCGGACTCTGTGCTGACAGTGCTGAGCCTTCTCAGGATTCTCTCTCTTCCTCTCCCTCTGAGTCTCCCCAGCTCTCTTTCTCAAAATAAATAAACATTTAAAGAAAGGAAAAAGAGAACAGAAAACTATCTTGACTTTTTAATAGCAATGATTGGTTAAGGAAGACATCTTACCATCTTTTCCAAAGTAGTTATAAAATGCAGTATGCCTGTTTTATCCCAGACACTGAGTTTGTATTCTCTAGAATTTGCCTCTTTTTTTTTTAAGAGACTATAGAGACTGCTGATATTCTTCAGTGATTTGTAGATTGACTAAATACCCAGGACATGTGATTTAAAAAAAACATATAGAACATAATAAATATCAGACATGAGAAGTCATCATTTATTTGGCTTTTGACATTAATATTTCACCTACAAGAGAACTGGAGATTTGGGGGGAAGGACATTTTAGATAATTACTTTTGCTTTCTCTTGCTTTCCTGCTTTCTTTTTGGTATCAAGCACATGATACCACTGAGGCAAAACATGAGGTTTTATTTGTTAGTATATTGGGCACTTGGGGATATCATTATTGTTCTTCTAAGTATGTTGCAAGTAATTCGGACCTTTCCTTTGCCTTGACTTTTCTTTAGATACCTCTGTAGGTGACGAGCTCTCTTATGAGATTGGATAAAAATCAACACAACTGAAACAGTTTAGCCTTGTAAGGTGACTGATGCTTAATATGTTTGCCTAATTAGCTTTTGGCTAAGAATTCAAACCCATTAAGTAGCTAGTTAGTCTATGTTTCAAATAAACACATCTGGCCCAAGAACGAATGAAGGGTTTTCCTGTGTGAGGGTGACAGATGTGGTGATGGTTCCCCCTGTTCTCTCACTTCAATAATTAACAACACCCTGGTGAAGTAACCCTGGATAGACAGCCTCAAAGCCAGATGCCTAGTCTCAGAGCTGGACCCGTGGACATGTGCCTCATCTCATTAACCTGCTCTATCAGTTCCTTTCGCATCTTGCTGTTACTTCCTGAATTCCATTTTTGTTTGAGGATTATTCTTTTAAAAAAACCTAAACACTTGTGAATGTTAGTTTGTAAAAAGGTTAATATGAAGATGCTTTGCTTGCAGATAGGGACAAAGAATATAGCAGCAGAGCTAGGACCATAGTTTTGCATTTGGAAATTGATGTTGTGGAGTAAACAGACATTAAAACTGCCTGGGCAAATCTTATCCAGGCCTATCATTAGTTAGTGTTATTGAAATGGGTCTTTGAAGTACTTTCTTTGAGAGACATTTCTGTTTATTAAATTTTTTTATTTGATATAGATTTCCAGATTGAGATGAATGGATTCTTAATATTTATTTATTTTATTTTACTTAAGTTTATTTATCAATTTGGAGAGAGACAGAGACAGTGTGAGTGGGGAAGGGGCAGAGAGAGAGGGAGGAGGGAATCCCAAGCAGGCTCTGCACTGTCAGCGTGGAGTCTGACACGGGGCTCAAACTCTCGAAACCACGAGACCATGACCTGAGCTGAAACCAAGAGGTGGACACTTAACTGGCTGAGCCACCCACGTGCCCCTGGATACTTAGTTTTTAAATGGGAATAATGTAAAGGTGGTGGTAATGAGGTCGTTCTTCTGTGAGAAATCTGTAGATTGTTGGCAGTTTACTTCTGCCAGTGGCTCACTTGTACCAGTGTTTTAAGTCTGAATAGGAAAGACTCTGTGGAGTTCTTTGAATCCTCCCCACCGCAGGGCATTCGCCTTATGGTGTAAGTGCAGGTGTCCCCAGTACTTGAAGGATGGGCTTCTCCTCTGACCCTTTTTGAGTGAGATGTCAACAATAGCACAGCTGTTCTGCAATAGTTGAGATCCTCAAACCTGTAATTTGGCAAGAAGAGCAGAACAAATTGGGTAAATATACATAAACACATTGTGAAGAAAGAAAAACAGAACAGAATGAACCAGAGCCTTATCCTACAGCTTGTTTGATAGAGATGATTTAAGGAGGCATATGGTATAGTTAAATGTGCTTTCAAAAACATTGGCCAGAATCTTCTGGCAAATATGAAATAAATATCTAAGTCAGATGAAACTGATAGTATTAGTTCTCTTAAAAGGCAATGTGGGAAGACACATGACAGAGTGTTTTGAGTAAGAAGTGGTGGGACATTAGCGTGTGTGGAAATTTTTAGGCATGTGATATTGAAGGTTCATTCAGGTGAATGGTGTGGCCACCTTGGGGTTAGAGCCTAACTTGATAATAGAACCTTTTTATTTTCTTCTTCAACATTGTTAGTTTTTCAGTATGATCATTTTACCTGGAATAAAATTGATTCATTCCACTTCTCTTTCTCGGCTGGACAAATTCTGCCTTTAACACAGCTTCTCACATGAACACTTCTTTTCAAAAATATACCTATGCATGCATGTGTATATATATCTATACAATACCTAATAACATTACCTTAGTAGCAGATGATATAAGAATGCCTTTATTCTCTCTTGTTTTCATTATGAGGAATGACACTTGATTTATTTATTTTTATCATAGATTCTAGGACAGTAGTTATGTCTTTACTTTGAATGTAAACATTAGAATCTTGGTGAGATGGGTTAAGGCTGAGGAC